CCGCACGCTATAGTGTAAATATCTTTGTAGACCGCACGCTATAGTGTAAATATATTTGTAGACCGCACGCTATAGTGTAAATATCTTTGTAGACCGCACGCTATAGTGTAAATATATTTGTAGACCGCACGCTATAGTGTAAATATATTTGTAGACCGCACGCTATAGTGTAAATATCTTTGTAGACCGCACGCTATAGTAGCACCAAATTGTTTTTCTTTTGTTTCATAAATTATTGTTTTTACATGTCTTAGGAAATTGGAATGCTGCTTTTAAAAGAAACGGTGATATTAGATCGAAATGCTCTTATGTATGACGTTTCCGGTATATAGTTAAGCCTAGATTTTTCTACCGACTCAACTGCTATTTTGTGATATTAAAGTTTCTCAGTGAAGAGTTTCATCAAACCATAATAGTAGTGAAACATTACCGCACATTCCGAAACTATAGAAAACACAGAAATACTATAAACGGCAAGAAATATGCTAACGAATGTTGTTTATACAATTTATCATATATATAGTTCAATAACCCCACAAAAATAGATGTTATCAAACCTCTTATTTTCTTCAGAAATATCGTAATGGATATATCAGTATATCATATGCTTTCTCTATAACTGCTAAAATACTGATTGTACTTACGCACATAAAAGGCTTATGTTAGGAAAAGACAACAAACAAATCGATCTAGCTGTTCGCGACAACAGTTAATCAACCCCTACAATAGAAAATTGATCTTCAGATCCCACCCCCCTAGAGATTGTTTTATTTCTATAGCTGTATGGGCACTTAAAGGTTTTCAAACATCTTGCAAATTCTTCATTTATCTTCTGCGATAATAAAGCTTTACTCATCGGCTCTTGATTAGCTCCGTTTTACACACGTTAACTTTTAACAGTCCGTTCTTTTTATAAACGTTATTATCCCGTTAACGCACTGTTCAATATAGGTTGGAAGTAAATAAATTAATATAATGTTTGTGGTAAGTGATTAGTATTTTATGATTGAAACTAAACAACGCATATTTAATACAAAGTAAGGTCAGTAGTTCAAAAGTGATAAATATATGCCAGATGCAAATCGTTATCCATTTTATGTTTTTCTAACTAAAACTATAAATGCGTTTAACTAACACTACAACTATGTGCACTTATATGCACCTAAAAGCACAATATTTCTGTCGTTGCACAACACTTCTGGTCTTTGTTTGTTTGTTATTTTCGAAGGCTTTTCAGGCACTTCGTATTTTTATTCGAATTTAGTCTGATAGTTGTCTTAAATTTAAATCCGATGCTAATCCTAAAAACAACTGTGTTTGTATTCGAAAGACTTCAATGAATAAAATATATTGATGCGGCTTATAAAAATATGTTGCTAAGTTTGTACGTTCTATTCATGCATTTATTATTAATTTGTTCAGGTCCATTATTTTATTTGTACCAACTGTCTGATACGTGTTACAAATTTAACTAACACTTAAAACATTAACCGGCATGGCCAGGTAGATAAGGCGCTCGACTCGCAATTTGAGGGTCGCGGGTTCGAATCCTGTCCCACCAAACATCCTCGCCCCTTTCAGCCGTGGGGGCGTTATTATGTGACGGTCAATCCCACTAT